AAAAAAAAAAAAAAAAAAAGAAGTCTGAAGATTTCTGGTCCTAAACATTTTAGTCAGGCTGTGTGTGAACTTTTTTAAAATGTTCTGTTAGCTGGGCATGGTGGTGCACACATGTATCCCAGCACTTGAGAGGATAAGGCAGGAGGTCACTGCAAATTTGAGGCCAGCCTGAACTACATAGCGAGACCCTGTCTCAGGAAAAAAAAAAGTGATGTTTGATTTTATGAATGACTCTGTTGGATTACTACTTTTTTGTTTTTTAGTCTATCTTCATGCATTTGAACATATTTGACCCTTTTTATCTTTGAATTTGTTCACACTTTACAGTTGTAGAACAAGGTTGTGTGTTACTGTGATATAACAGTACAGTCATTGTATAAAACAGTTGCTGAACATTTTCTTTTTTTTATTTGATTTTTATTAGTTCATGTTGCAGTATATAATGATATATTCATCTTGGGGAGTTGGTACATGTACATAACACATTTTAATTCTTTCTAGATCCCCTCCTCTCTGCTCCTTGCCCCTCCTTCTGGAGTTTTTCTGAGCTATGGTATTTGTAGCAGTGACTCAATAAAAAGTTGAAATTGCCATGAGTGAAAAGTGATTGGAAGCTGGGGATTTATTTAGCTCAGTGGTTCTGCTGCCTGCCTCGCAAGCTCAAGGTCCCGAGTTCAATCCCTGGTACAAAAAAAAAAGAAAAAGAAAAGAAAAGAAACCTGTGACCTAATTAAAAAAAAAAAAAAAAGGAAGTGATTAGAGTAAAATCCAGTTCTTAAATTGTTTTTCCCTACTCCCACTTCCCAGTATTTGGGATTAAACCCAGGACCATCATACTAAGTTACATCCCTCTTTTTTTTTTTTTTTTTTAAGAAGGAAAGGTTTATTTTGGTTCACAGTTTATAGAGGTTTCTTTTGTTGTTCGTTTGTTTTGGTACTGGGAATCAATCTCAGGACCTTGCACTTGTGAGTCAGGGGTGGCACTACTGATTTAAATCCCCGGCCCCGTAGAGGTTTTAATCCATGGTCAAGTGGCTCCAAGGCAGGGCAGCACAGCAGAGAAGCAGCTCATGGCACGGTATCAGGAAGCAAAGAGAATAATCCCCACCCCACCCCCTTTTTTTGGTACCAGGAATCGAACTCTGGTCCTTGTGCTTATGAGGCATGCGGCAGATCCACTGAGCTAAATCCCTGGCCCCCTTTTTTAATTTTTATTTTTGAGACAGTTTTGCTAAGCTACCAAGTTGTCCTTGCTGGGCTCAAACTTGTGATTCCTCCTATCTCAGCCTCCCACAGTGCTTGGATTATAAGCATGCACCACTACATTTGACTAAAATCATTTTTTTAGAAAATACTTAAAAAAAGTGTTGATTTCTGAACACTCTAAAGCAGGGATTGGCAAATCATAGTTGGTCCAAAGGTCAAACATGGCCTGTTTTTGTAGCAAAGTTTTATTGGCACACAGCTGCACCCAGTAGTTTATATATTGTCTGTTGCTGTGTATATATTTTGTGCTACAACATCAAAACTGCAAGACTATCTAGCCTGCAAAGCCTAAAATACTATCTGCACCCTTACATAAAATGTTTTCAGAAGGACTTTAAGTCTGGAAGCATATACACCGACATGCTAAGGCAGTGGTCCTTAGGTGTTGGAATTAAGGGTTGTTTTAATTTTCTTTTCCTTTTTTTATTAATAAATTTTGTTTTATTTTATCCCAGTTTCCCTCAAGCCTCCTCCCCTCTCTTATTTTCTTTTTTTTGCCTAAATTTTCTTGTTTGTCTATGAGCAGGTATCCTTGAATCCATGTGGTATTTTAAGTTAGCTATATAATTTTTAATGTGACCGCTAGGTGGAGCCCAGTTGCAAATGACTGCTTCTCTAACCTATTACACAGCTCTAACCTATTCTCACCTATTGCACACTAGAGTAATAAAGATTGCTGAGGCTGTAATAAAGATTGTGAGTCTGCTCCTGGCCAGCTCTCATTCTACATAGTGTATTTCTTTTCTGCCCTCAATAAATGTAAATCCTCGCTACCTTTAAAAAACAAGAAGATTGCTGTTTGAGCCTAACTAAAGTAAAATTCTCTATTTTTTTTTTCCAGCCCCAATGTAGAATGCAAAAGCATGAGGTTTGGCATGTTAAGGGACCATCAAGCTGTCACTGGAAATGTCACTGCTTTTGATGGATCTATTCTCTATCTGCCTATTAAGCTTCAACAAGTAAGAACCAAAGGGAATTGTACTTTGGATGAAATCTAAGAGTGCTCTTGTGTTTTGATTGGTGGGAAACCATAGACATCCTGAACATTTGAATTATATCTTCCTATTCTTTAAAAGAAGGTAGATTTTTGTAGAACCTAACAGAAATTCTTCTGTTTGAGTTCTTCATGAAGGACCTTCAACAATGTTTGAAAGCCTTTGATTTCAGTGATTAAAAAAATGGCTTAAAATTTCAACCTCAGGGCCGGGGATTTAACTCAGTGGCAGTGCTCCTGCCTCATAAGTACAAGGTCCTGAGTTTGATCCCTGGCACCCACACATCCCCAAAAAATTTCAACATCAAACATCCTTGGGCTTCTCTTACCAAATAATTTCTTAAATCCTAGTTGTCATGCTGTGATTTTGCCATGGTAGACAGCAAACTGAGGAAAAAGTAAAAACTGTATTTTGAGATATTCTGGTGTTCTCTAGAACACAGATTAGATTAAAACTTCATTGCTTTGTTATTTCTTTTTACTTTTGTTGTTTGTTAGGTTCTTGAGTTAAAAAGTCAAAGGAAAACTGATAATGCTGAGATCATCATTAAGATTCAGTTGACAAAGATCCTGGAGCCTTGTTCTGACTTGTGCATTCCTTTCTACAATGTTGTTTTCCGAAGGTGAGAAAACAGCTGCAGTGTTACTTCACTTTAATTTCGGTTTTGTATTTGTATGAATGTTCTTCAAGAAGCTTGAAGTCTATAGATGTATATGTCTATAGATGAATGTGCAAACATTTAATAAATGAATGATCTTGATGCATCTTAAAACATTATCTTGCAAAAGCTGGGCATAGCCTACCGCAGGAGGCTGAAACAGAAGGATTGCCGCAAATTAAAGCCAACCTGGGCTACATAGTAAATTCAAGTCCAGCCTAACTACTAGTGAAACCCTGTCTCAAAAAACAGCAAAAAATTGTCTCACAAGTGATAAGCCAGATTCAAGTACATGAAATTAGGTTTGGAGGTAGCAGGTTAGCAGAATGGGTTCCTTTGAATTAGTTCAGTTTCAAGCAGATGTTTATACTGTAAATTAATTGTGTTGTTAGTGAGGGGGGGTTACTCAAATAGTAACACAAAGTAGCACAAATATTTGTTGGGAGAAATTTTCCAGTCCCTTAAAATTTTGAATTATAGACAACTCAAAATTGGTTCGCTTCTTTTGAGAGTCCCTAATTTTCTTATGGTTGTTATTCCCAAACTACTTCCTAGGTAGTAAAACAGAACCTAGTAAACTGAACTGCCAGGGAAAAACATAATTCCCTTTACCAGGCTGTTACTCACAAACATGGAAACTGGCTTTGTTGTGTTCTATTTGGTTATGTTAAAAAATAATATAAATCGAGCCTGGGAAGTAACTCAGCACTTGATTAGCTAATCAGTAGGAAAAGCTGCGGTCATTTATTCAAGCAGCCATTTAGGTTCATACGATCAGGTTCATTTACTTGCTGCAGACAAAATCAAAGGAGGCCATTTATTTTGAAAAAAAAGAATGAAAAGGGATTTATTTAAAGCTAGCTCCAGGGAGACAGAAGGGCCTATTTCCCTCAGATCTCTGCATCACCATGTCCAGAAGGTGGGCAAGTGTCTTTTATAATAAGGAACATGGGAAAGGGTAGCACAGAGAGATAATAAACATCTCCACACTTGCTTTATCACTTCTAGCCATCTTTAGATCCCCTTTCTTTTCTCTTTTTTTTGAGGGGGGCGGCGGTCACTGTATAGTTAGGGCTGGTTGTGAACTCACTGTAGCCCAGGCCTCAAAACTTGAGGCTATCCTTCTGCCTCAGCCTCCTGATTGTTGGGATTAGGTGTGAGCCACCACAATTGGCTTTCCCTTTCTTGTAGAAAGGAATTTGAGCTTCTTCTGCCTTCTGGAGCCAGTATGTGTATATTCTGTCACAGCTATTGGGCTGAATAGAGGAGGCGTTTTGGTTGTGTGTTCAGCCAGAGGAAGTTTGGAGCAGTTATTTATCTGTAAAAAAAGAAAATCTAGCTTTTATTTTTTAAAAATTTATTTTAATTATTATTATTTTTTGATACTCTTGCTGTGTAGTTCAGACTAGGTTTGAACTCACTATGTAGCTCAAGCTGGCCTTAAATTTGTGGTGATCCTCCTGCTTCAGCCTCCTGAGTGCTGGGATTATAGGCGTGTGCCACTATATGGGGCCCTAAAATCTAGCTTTCAAAATTCCATTTTGAGATGCCAGTTATAATACTCCAAGATAAATGCTTGGATCATTTTTTTCTTTCAGCAAGTTTATTCTTAACATAAAAGCCGTATGTCAAAAGATACAAATATTCCTGATCCTTTAGGCTCCCAAAGGAAATCAAAAGTAATGAAGCTTAATTTTATTATTCTTTCATTAGAAATTCTAATCTGGGTCTGATGGCATACACCTGTAATCCCAGCATTCCGGGCGCCTGGGACAGAAGGGTTGCAAATTTGAGCTGAGTACTTGCTTCGGCAGCACATACACTAAAATTAGAATGATACAGAGAAGATTAGGATGACCCCTGCACAAATATGAGCTGAGCCTGGACAACTTAGGGAGACCTTACCTCAAAATTAATGTTTAAAAAGGACTCAAAATATAGCTTAGTGCAAAAGCCCTGGGTTTAGTCCACAGTAGCACACACACACCATTCTGAGGGGCTAGGGATGTACTCATTGGTAGCTTTTCTGTCTAGCACACGCAAAGCCCTGGGTTTGATCCCAGCACTACCAAAGAAAGAAAGAAACAAACAAAAAACCTCATTCCTTCATTCCTACTTTTTATTTCAGGGTAATGAAACTTTTAGATATGAAGCCTGTGGGAAGAAACTTCTATGATCCTACAAGTGCTATGGTATTACAGCAGCATAGGTTGGTGTTTTTTTTTCCCCTTCTTAAATTTTGAATGCTCTGGAAAAAATTTTTCATTGTTGCTGCTAAACTTGACAAAAATTTCAGCAGTTTTTAATGGAAATTAATATAGTTTATTAGTTAAATTTATTGAGTTTAGATTTTAGTAAACTTGCAGCAGTGCTGGTTTAACTTATTATATCTTGGGGCTTCTTCACTGACTTTCAGCATGGAAAAGCTCTTAAGTATTGTTTCAGATGGGGTAATGGAAGTTGGTATGTTCCTTAGAACCCTGAGGTAAAGACCACCTCTCTCTTCAGGTTGCAGATCTGGCCTGGCTATGCAGGTAGCATCCGGAGGACAGATGGAGGTCTTTTTTTGCTAGCTGATGTCTCCCATAAGGTCATTCGGAATGATTCTGTGCTGGATTTCATGTGAGTGAATGGTGAGATCTACCTTTAACATGCTTGTGATTTTCTGAAAAGTTTAGTGGTAGCTGGTCATAATACAGGTTAGACAACTGTTCTCTTTGGTGTTTTGTACTTTGGCAGTGCTGGGGATTGAACCCAGAGCCTTGCAAATGCTAGACAAGCAGTCTACTACTGAGCTAAATCACCAGCCATCTGATTAGATTTGGCGGGGTGGTACTGGGGATTGAACTCAGGACATTATGCTTGCAAGGCAGGCGGTGGAACCACTGAGCTAAATCCCCAGCCCTGCTTGGATTTTTAATTGTAGAATGGACTAAGGGATTTAAATGCTGTGTGCTCTTGTCCCTAGGTCCTACTGAGATGGGTACTTGAGCAAATATCTGATGTTCTCTGAGGAGTCATATTTCCTGGGTGGTCTAAGTCAAATTAGATCCAGGTTTGAGCTCGTGCTCTCCGAGATAGAAATCTTTAGTCAGGCACCCCCTGATTATGCCACGTATGAACTGTGGGGTTGTTTATGACCGTGGTTCTTACACAGTAGCAGTGCCTGGGCACTAAGCCCCAGAGCATGTCCATGACTGGTGGGGGACCCCTGTAGCTAGTATGGCCACCTCTATCCCCTGTGCCTTTTGGGCTCTTGTGGCCCCCTGGGAATGGCAAAAGAGCAGTTGTTTCCTGGAGCTCAGAACAGTTCAGTCTTTAGACATGAGGCAGTTTTTCTCTTCCTCACCAGGAAATGGTTTGCATACTTCTGACAGGTAATGAGCCAACTAAGGCTTACCAAATAATAACCTTATTTATATGTCACTATTAAATTCTCTGTAACTCATTTATTGGCCCTGTGTGGGGAAATGCCCAGGATTCAGCATCATCTCAGCGCTGGCAACTCCATGGATTTTTGAACACTGCTCCCCTAACCCTCAGAGGCCAGGCCTAGTGCTCCATGGTTACTCCCTTGCTTTGTGTAGTGTATCTTGCACAGTATGTCTTGTAGCATTTTCCCGAGGAAGGGTGCATGGGAGGAAATTGTTTTGAGGCCATAAATGTTTGAAAATGTCTTCAGCGTACCTTAGATTGGTTGTAAAGTTCTAGGTTGGAGATATTTTTCCCTCAGAATTGTGATGGCATAGTTTTCCAGTGTCTCTGCTTTTAGATTTGCTTTTGAAAAATCTAAAGCCTTTTTGATTTCTGATTTCAGAGTCTCTGTGTCTCCCCTCGCCCTTCTTGCACCCTTCAAATCTTTGCAGTTTTTATTACCTCAGTCTCTTGAATTGTGATTTATTTGGCATTCCTATCTATAGATATAGATATATATTAGGATGGTATCTAGGATGAATTTATGTCTGAAGGAACTTCCTGCAGTATGTCATTTAGTGTGGAATCTATGGGTGACAAAATTCTTTCAAATTTCATCTAAAAATGGCCTTCACCTTGCTTTATTTTTGTTTTTTGTAGTCTTCAGTATTGAACCCAAGGCCTTGCACTGAGGTACACCCCATCTCTTTTTACTTTTTATTTTGAGACAGAGCTCACTAAGCTGACCAAGCTGGACTTGAACCTGCAATTGTTCTGCCTCAGTCTGTTGGCAGATATTTTCTTTGATCACTTTGAAACTATGCCATTATATTCTGGCTTACATTGTTTCTTTTGACAAATCAACTGCCAGTATTACTGCTCTCTCTTCTTTTGAAAGAGAAGGTCTCCCTATGTAGCCCAGGCTTGAAATGGAAGTGATCCTCCTACGTCCTACCACAGTCTTCTGAGTGCTGGGATTACAGGCATGTGCCTCCATGGCCAGCTACTGCTGTCTTTTAAATTTTTTTTTTTGTACTGGGGATCAAACAGGTCCTTGTGCTTGCAAGGCAGGTGGTAGAACCACTGAGCTGAATCCCTGGCCCAATTTTTTTTCTTAATTTTTATTTTAGAAGTTTTACTATAACATATCTAATTGGGGTTTTTGTTAAGAAAAAAATCATGACACTTGTTAGAGGACGTTAAAGCAACTTTGTTCAGGGACCATTACACTGGGTCTTGGCAGTAGAGGAGACAGACTGGGCTCAACTCCAAATACAACAAGGAAAAGTGGGAATTTATAACCAAGGAGCATGATTTTCTGAGAAGTTTGGTAATAGCTGGTCATAATACAGGTTTGACACTCTTCTCTTTGTTTTCTTTTTTGTGTGTATGTGTGCTGGGATTGAACCTGGGGCCTTGTGGTGGTGGTCAGTGGATGGAAAATTACTAACGGGAGATATTAGGAGTTGGGAGATTCTGGCTAAATAGATCTAACAGGAGTTTTGCTGCAGGCAGGCCTGGGGATCAGAAGTCACCTTTGAAGATGATGAGGATTTTCATCAGATATGGAAGGTGGTCAGATAAGGGTGGGAATTCTGGCTAAACCAACTTAGTAGGATTCTAGCTAAAACTGGACATTATGATGATGAAATGGAAGCCCAAAAGTTAGAGCTTGATTGGGAAGAAGATTCAAAAGAGTTTGGTCAAAGAGAAGATCATCATTTCCCATTGTTATACTGGCTGGCCATTGTATAGTCCTCTTATTGAGAGTGGGCTGAACTCTCTGACATATCTCTATTTTATTTATTTATTTATGTATTTATTCATTTAGATAAGGTCTCACTATGTAGTTCAGGCTGGCCTTGAACTCACTATGTTGCTTAGGCTGACCTTGAGCTCGTGGTGATCTTCCTACCTAGCCTGCTGAGCTGACATGTCTCTAAAGAATACAAGATGATGGAATGATGGATGTCACTTCTGAGAGCAGACGATGAAAAGATTATCTTCTGTCTGGAGGGCAGTCTCTCTCTGTTCTTATGTCACCCTGGGGGCACCCGATGGCCATGCTGTGGATTAGCCCTGTGGAATGGCCCAGCAAAGTTCTGGAGGCACAGCCTGATTCAGTCAAGCCCTGACATGCTGCTGCCAGGTTGAAAACCTTGCCTGCTGTCTTGAGAGAGCCCCAGCCAGAGGAACCCAGCTCAGCTACACTAGAATTTCTGACCCACAGAAACTCTGAGTTAAGAAACCTATAGATATGTAAATAAATATAAATAAGGTAATGTAAGATACATGTATCAATGTATGCAATACATATTTTTCTGTGTGGTGCTGGGGACAAATCCAGGTCCTTCATAATTTAGTTACCATTGAGCAACCTCCCCGCCTCCTGTGAAATCCCTTTTTCTTTTCTTTATTTTGTATAAATTATATGCATTCTTATCTTAATAGATACTTTGGAATGGCTCTCCAAAATGCATGGACAATTTGTCTGAAATGGCTCTCCAAAGTGCATGGACAATTTGTAATGTTCCCTATATCCTACTAAGAACTGGATTTTTTTTTTTTTTGGAGACAAGATCTCACTATGTGGTTCAGGCTAGCCTCGAATTCAGTGGCAATCCTCCTGCCTCTGCCTCCTGTGTGCAGGGATTACAGTTATGGGCCACCATTCCCAGCTATAACAACTTGATATTATCAGTCTCTTTGGTCTTTGCTAGCCAATGTGAAAAACTTTAGCATTGTTGTTTTAATTTGCATTTTGAACTTTGACATATGTTTGGTTCCACATATATTTTTGTTTTTTGTGTGTTTATCTGCTAATATTCTTTATCCACTTTTGCAGTTGCTTTTTAAAATTTATTTCAATGAGGTGAGTATAAATTTTGGATATTGCTTTTGTCATTACTTTTTTTTTGGTGGTACTAGGTATTGAATCCGGAGGCTCTGTACTACTGAGCTACATCCTCAGTCCCTTTTCTAAAACAAGGTCTTGTTAAATTATCTAGGCAGAACTCAACTTTTGATCCTTCTACCTTAGCTTCCCTCTGTACTGGGATTACAAGTATGTGACACCATTCTTAGCTTGCTCGTACTTTTAAAAATAAATGTTTTATTAGTTGTTATGATTTGTGTCTAGATGTCCCCCAGAAGCCTCATGGGGTCATAGGCTGTTTTGGAGGTGACTGAATCTAGAGTGTGATTGATTCATGGTGGGGCTAGGCCAGAGGGCACTAGGATGACGGGCATGAGTGCTACCTGCCCTAAGTAGTCCGAATAATATAAAAGGGGCAGAAAGACACTGTTAAGGTCCCTTGTTGCTTTGCTGCTGTCTGTCTACCATGAACTGTTACTGCTCTGCCACCCGGCCTGGGAGCCCGCTGATTATGGACTGAAACCTCTATGAACTGTGAGCCAAATAACCCTTTCCCCCTTTAATTGTGGGTCAGATATTTTGTCTCAGCAATGCAAGAAAAGTAACTAACACATGAGTGATTATTAATTTTACAAAATTGGGTTTCAATATGTGTAATATAGTTTGATCATGTCTATCCTCCATTACCTTCCCTTATGTCTCTCTTCACCTTATTCCCTTCTTTTTGTATCATAGCCCTTTTTACTTTGATGTCATCTTTTTTAGTTTCCATATATTAGGGAGAACATGCAATATTTGCCTTTCTAAGTCTGGCTTATTTTGCTTAACATAGTCTTAGTTCCATCCCAGTATGTATAATGTTTTTTCCCTTGGCATAATGTTTGCAAGGGCCAAATATGTTACAGCATACATCAGTATTTTATTACATTTAAAACAATAATTTTTTGTACATTTTAAATATACATAATGATAACATTAATCACAGGGAATTTGTACCTGTGCATGTACATATCTTGCTTCTTTTTTCTCATTCCCTTCTTGTCCTCTCCCCCTCCTTACAAAACCTTTGTTTCCATTTTTTCCTTGTATTTTCTTTTTTTCTTGTCTCTTCCTTCCTTTTCCCCTCCTTCTTCCCTTGTTCCCCTTTCCATTTGAACATTTTCTTCCCATTTCCCAATATCTATTACACATTTTGGTCCTTATTTCCACTTCCCGTGTCTCCTACCAGAGAAACAATAGCCAGCAGTAGGTTTATGGTGGGGAAGTGGATAATCCCAGAAGGCCTGCACCTTTAGTTCTGAAGTTAGGGCTGGTTTCCGGCTATGAGGCTGAAACATGATTTGTTCAGCCTGCAATACTAGGTATGTCTCCTGCTGGGTTTAACTCGGCTCCCAGCTGGCTTGAACTTGGCTCCTTGACCTCCTGCCAACTTAAACTCATTCCACCTCACCCCATGGAGCCACCCTGCAGCTGCTCTGAGTTCTGAGCTCAGTTGGCCCCTCTTCAAGATGGGCTTCTGGGTAATTGCCCTCTTGTGGGGACACCTGAACCTGAATAACTCACCAGCCACTGCAGTCCTCTGCATCCACTGCTTTGTTCTATGGGCATGTTTCTCTGTGGAGGCCTCTTGGATTGCCAGTCACTGCATCTGTACGTTTGAGTTGTCCTTTCCACACAGTGAGTTAGAGCTCAGGGAGAAGGTGCTTCTTGAAACCTCCTTCTTCGTGAAGTCTCTTCTTGCTCTCCTGCTCTTCCCGTGGGCTTCAATTCTTGCTTCAGATTCTTGCTGGGTCCCAGGGACCCATTTCCTCTCCTTCTCCTCCTCACATTGCTATATTCTAACATCTGGACACCAAATCTCAGAGAGACTGTTTCTCTACTGTTCACCATTCCCCCATACCAGAGATTGAACTCGGGTCCTTGCACTTGCAAGGCAGGCCACTGAACTGCTGAGCTAAATCCCCGGCCCCTTCAAATGTATATTTTTAACTCCTTTTAGCAATCTTTTCTATATGCGCTACACATTTTTGTGGGCCTTATTAAACCATTTTAAAAATCTGTTCATTTAAGATGTTAAATATAAACATGCTGCAACTGGTTTATAGTAAGCACTGTTGATATTAACGGCAATGATTATGTTTGCAAGCACCTAATTCTTTTGTGATAGGCACAGGTCTGTGTGCTTTATAAAGTCATTTTGTTTTCTCAGCAACATAAGTTAGGTGCTTGTACTAACCTCACTTTCCTATGAGGAACTGAGGCACAAAGAGAATAAGTAACTTGCTGCAAGTTTTACAAACTCTAATAAGTGGGAGCATAAAAGTTTGAACCCTAGAACTTTGGCTTCCTGGTCTGCTGTGAGTGTTGAGCTGTCCAATCTTTGATGGCTTTTTACTTACTGTAGTCTGTCTGTCTTTTTTCTTTTCTTTTTTTTTTTTGTACCAGGGATCGAACTCGGGTCCTTGCACTTGTGAGGCAGGTGGTGGCACCACTGAGCTAAATCCCCAGCCCTAGACTCAATTTTTTTGATTATGGTACTTTTTCACACACACACACACACACCCCACCTGTCAGGAATTGTAAGTCTTTTTCACACACACACACACACACACACACACACACACCACCTGTCAGGAATTGTAAGTCTTAAAGGGGTCAGTGGTCCACAGGAAGAAGTCCCATCTCCTTTCCATCCATAATGCTGTTACCCCCCCCACACACACACTTCCTCTGCTCAGAATGTTGCTATTGCCACTGCCCCAGCCATTTCTGCAGCACATGGTTTCTTTCAGTAGCAGCTGCCTCTGTAAATGTTGCTTGACTGCCTGGGTGTCTTCATATGTTGTATTTGTGGGTTCCCGGTGCTCTTTTGGTCACAGCTCTGTTACACAGATTACTTGAGAGGATATTCCCCTATCTTTCCATATCTGCATCATAAGCAGGGCCTGCCTTATAATGGGCACTGATAAAGTAATTTCTGCCTGCAGCAAGAAAGGGCAAATGTAATTTAAAGAATGCTTTTCTGCTACCTCTTGCAGCCTATATTCTAGTACTGATAATACAAAGTAACAGTTATTTTGTTGATCAAAATATTTTACAGTGCCGGGTGTGGTGGTGCATGCCTGTAATCCCAGCACTTGGGAGGCTGACGCAGGAGGATTGCTGTGAGTTTGAGACCAGCCTGGGCTACACAGTGAGTTCCAGGTCAGTCTCAACTACATAGTGAGACCCTGTCTCAAAAAAAAAAAAATTACAAAATATAGTGAATTTTAATTAATTTTTTAAATACAATTTTTAATTTTTCAGTATTGTTTGATTTTTATTTTTAATTTTTTGGGTAATATTTAAAAGAAAAAATGTGAGGAACCCCCCCCCCATACTGGGGATTGAACCCAGGTCTTTTCATTGAGCTGTATCCCCAGCCCTTTAAAATTGTTTTGTTTTTGTTTTTGTTTTGAGACAGGGTTTCACTAAATTGCTAAATTTCCCAGCCTGGGGTCAAACTTGCCCCAGCTTCCTGGAGTACTGGAATTATAGGCTTCTGCCAAAATACCTGGCTCAGAGACCCATCCTTTATTTATTTATTTATTTGTTACCGAGGATCAAACTTGGGTCCTTGCACTTGCGAGGCAGGTGATGGAACCACTGAGCTAAATCCCTGGCCTGGGAATCCCATCCTTTAAAGACACAGAAGCTGGTGCCTTGGGGGTGCTGTTTATCTGTGATTAGACTATTAGATCCGTAAATGAATTACTTGAGTCCGTTGTCCTTTCCATATTGTCCTGTGTGTACAAGTGTAGTCTAGAGTCTTTTGCTTCTTTCTGAAGGCATGCCCTGTACCAGCAGAACAAAGATAACTTCCAAGATGAGTGCAGTAAGCTTCTGGTTGGCAACATTGTTATTACCCGATACAATAATCGGACCTATCGGATTGATGATGTGGATTGGAATAAGACTCCAAAGGACAGCTTCACAATGTCTGATGGAAAGGAGATCACATTCCTGGAATACTACAGGTAGAAAGAAAAGAAGAAATGGGTTTGTTTGTGCCTAAGAGGGGGCAGAGTCAGACATAGTTTCCCATTCTCTGGAGGACATTGAGCTTCATATATCGTGCAAGTTCACACTTTTAAAATACTTGGATTGAAAGTGCACTGAAGATTGAGTGAGCTTGTTTGTGGAATTGGACCTAGTGTGCTGCCCTTACAGTGTCTGCCCTTTTAGTACTTTGGAAAGTTACTACATAAATTAATCTCAGGCTTTGAATTATATATGTTTTGCTGATTTTATTAGAAGTCTGGTTGGAGAGATTAAGTTGAAGTCATTAATCATAAATTCAACTATCAAGCTGGGCATGGTGGCGCATGCCTGTAATCCCAGCACTCGGGAGGCTGAGGCAGGAGGATTGTCTGGAGTTTGAGGCCAGCCTGGGCTACATAATGAATTCAAGGACAGCCTGAACTGCATAGTGAGACCCTGTCTTGAAAAACAAAACAAAACAACTATCATTTCATTTTTGTAGTGAGACCCTTAGCCTAATTTAGTTTTTAACATATTCTTTCTGGGACTTTTGGCCTTAGTTCTCTATTTAACTGTAATTTAAGTTGAACCTACTTTTTCTAGTGATAAGTATACAGTATGCCTCAGTTCAAGAACTTAATTCTTTCCATGATTCTGGCCACATAATTTGTTCCAAGATTCTGGTTGCAATTTAATTCTGCAACCAGAATCGTGGAGAGAATTAAGCTCGTGAACCAAGATACCATTGTACTATACTATGTTTCCGAAAAATCCTTGACAAAGGTATTTGTACAAAATTATAGGCCTTAATCTTGGTTAAGAGGTTAACAGATTCAGTGTGTATTGCTATAAGAGTAGTGATGCTGCTTCCCAAATTTTTTCTGCCTCTGCTCTAGGAAAAACTATGGGATCACAGTTAAGGAAGAGGACCAGCCACTGCTGATCCACAGGCCCAGTGAGAGACAGAATAAATATGGAACGGTGAGTGGAGATGTTAGGCTCACACCTCCACCAGTAGTCCTACAACCCATCAGCCACTTGTGGCCTTCTTCAGGCTCCATGATTATAGTGTGGTGGGAAATAGAAATTCGTTTCTTGTCTAACCAGAGATACCGCAAGAAGTCCCCCCAAGGAAGATCTAAATAAACATGTCAAGTTAGGTTAAAGAATATGGAAATTTTCCTGTGTATGAAGATTAAAACTCTGGACCCAGTAGAGAAGGCATAGACATATATTTTAGCGGGGATAGTTCTTGGGGAAGTTCCCTGTCACCTGATTCCCTGTAAAGACTAAGAGCTGGGCATGGTGGTACATGCCTGTAATTCCAGAACTTGGGGAGGCTCAGGCACAAGGATTTTAAATTCAAGCCCAGCCTAGGCAATTCAACAATACTCTATGTGAAAAAATAAAAATTTAAAAAATGGGCTGAGGAAGTAGCTCAGTGAGAAGCACCTGGGTTCAAATCTCAGTACTAGCTGGGTGTGGTGGCGCATGCCTGTAATCCCAGCACTCCAGAGGATGAGGCAGGAGGATCTCTGCAGTTTTGAGACCAGTCTGGGCTACATAGGGAGTTTCAGGGCAGTCTGGACTACATAGTGAGACCCTGTCTCAAAAAACAAACAAACAAACAAAAAATTAGTACACCCAAGGCAAGGTTGGATGAAAGTGAGGCATGCACGTTTGTAGAATATATTATCTTAAGGTCCTAGAGGTACATGATTGGGTTTGTTTTGTTGCTTTTTTGGTTTTCCCTGCCCTTTTGCTAGTTTTATATTTTCCCCTCTTACCTAATAGGCTACCTGTACTCTGGTAGAGTGGGAAAATGGGCAAAATACTTGCAGAGTTTCCCTGCCCTCTTCTTTGGGATTTTATGTGGCAAGTTAATGTCACTGCAGGACTAGCCTGTGGTCATGGCTGTCTTGTGCAGGCCAGGGAGGCACCATCCTCTCTTAACTGCCTCACTTTCTCTTTCTATTCTTTCTTCAAAGCTGCTAAAAGGCGAAATCTTGCTTTTGCCTGAGCTTTCCTTCATGACTGGGATTCCGGAGAAGATGAAGAAGGACTTTAGAGCCATGAAGGTTGGAGTCCTGCTGTTTGCAAAAGGGAAACACCAGCTTTGAACCGTGACCTTTTGGATAGCAGTTTGAATTAGAACTGGGCCAGGTTCTCCCTTTGACTCTGGGTTGTATTATCACCTTTCTTCCAGGTTCCAGTTTTCTCACTGTGGGATAGGATCTGTGTTCTTTCCCACACAGAGTGTGAAAAGCATGTCATAGCTACCTTTCAAGGCCATTAGAACAGTAGAGGGACTAGATCATAAGGAGAAAAGAAACAAACAACCCTGTCTTCATCCTCCCCAGTTAGATGAATAATAACTGGCCATAAACAAGGCTCTTTAAGAGTCCTAAATTACTGTAACATTTATGAGGCAGTGAAGCAAAAAATCAGCAAGCTGGAAAATAAAGATAAACATTTATGGCACAGGGCTTTGAGGTCTTGGGAGTGTTGGGCTCAGCTCCTGGTGGAACTAGCTGAGAGGCAGAGAAATGGGCTCAACAGCTACACCGGGCAGCATGCAACAGAGCCTCTAGCCATCATCTGTCCCTTGGGCTGTCCATGCTGGAGCTACGTACTCTGCTGCCTGGCTTTCCTTGTTTCAACTTCAGTGATGGCGAACTTTTTAGAGCTTTCAGTGATAACAGACAGCCCACTGCAGCATCCCTGCCATAGGTTCACCGCCACTAAACTACCATGAAGTGTAGCTGAAAATTCCTGTGAGAAATTTCTTTCTTTCATGTTTTCCTTTTGATATTTCTGCTTTGAGTTTTTAGGTCAAGGCCCATTTTTTATAGCTACCAGTTGCCCAATAACTATAATGAGGGAGGAAAGTTGTCTAGGTAGCCTCACAGACATTCTAAACAGCAGCTGTACAATTCATTAGTTCCAAAGAATGAGTAAAGAACTCATTTACATGGTTTAGAATCTTCATATGCACCTGTTAGATATTACTCAGTAGTATTTGGTAAGCACTTCTGATGAGTCAACACTATGGCAAGTTCTGGGCAAAAAGTGCCTCCTCATGATGTTGAATGACTAGTATGGTATGACCAAGTATAGGTCTGAAGTGGCTTACTGTTCTCTTGTAAGTGAACACTAGCCTATCTTTTATTTTCTTGATTTTCCAAAATTTTAAATAAATATAATCAAGCTCCCTTTGCTTCTGTTTGATAGAATCACTTAGGAATTTTATTCGTTTATTTGTTTATTTGGTACCAGGGATCAAACTTGGTCCCTTGTGCTTGGGAGGCAGGTGGCAGAACCACTGAGTCAAATCCCCAGCCTCCTTAGGAATTTTAAATTCAGGATGTGCTTTGAGAAAGAGGTAAGACTCAGCTGTCATGAGGAGGAGTCAGTAACATTTAAAAATCTTTTAATGTTAAATTTTTCCCCTATTCCTTATTCACATTCTTGAGAGATACTTATAAAAGTCTATGGAAATACATGAAAATTTCTACTTCAACAGAAAGGACATTTCTTTCAGACAGTTTGGGGTTTATTTACCCTCATGTTGGAGAAAGTAATAATTACAACTTACTGTCTGCATTTTAATTCTATTTAGGATTTGACCCAGCAGATCAACCTGAGCCCCAAACAGCACCATAATGCTTTGGAGTGCTTGATCCAGAGAATTTCAAAGAACGAGACAGCCAACAATGAACTGATGCGTTGGGGGCTCTGTCTGCAGAAGGACATACACAGGGTAACCAGAAGATATGATGGCCAGGAAATGTCATTGACTAAGCCCTAGAGTTGTGTGAGACCAGCTGAAGACTTTTAACTTGTCTTTAATGTGGAGGGAGTCTTTCCTTTTTTTTCTCTCCTCTCTCTCTCTCTCTGTCTTCTCTCCCTCCCTTCCTTCTTTTCTCTCTCTCTTTCTCCCCCCCTCATAGATTTTTCCTCTGTATTTCCCATATCTGAGCTACTAATGTCATCAAATAGATAACCAAGAGGATTCAGTGTTGACTTATAGCTTACCTCATTTTAGTTTTCCAAACCAAATTTTTTAAAGTTTTAGGTCGTTTTTTTCCCCTTAAGCTTTTTTCTTTCTCAATAATTACCCTGTATTTCCTTGAATGTACTACTGTTATTTTTTTCCTTAGGCATAAGAGAGTTTCTAACTAGTGTCATCTAATTTCCACAACCTTTCCTACCTGAAGTTGCCTGAGTTAGCAGTGTTGTATTTTGTGCAAACATGATCCACAGTACAGAAACAACACAAGATGGTGGAAAGGGCATTGGATTTTGGTGTTAGCTTTTCTGGCTTTGAATTACAGATCTGCTCCTTGTAATCTTGGTTACTTTGAGCAAGTTGCTTAGCATCTCTTCTTTCCTTATGTGAAATGAGGATAGAATTAACATTTTGTGGTGGGATATGCCTGTAATCCCAGCACTCAAGAGACTGAGGCAGGAGGATTATTGCAAGTTCAAGTCTACCCTGGACTACATAGTGCAAGGCCAGCCTGAACTACAGAGTGAGACCTTGTCTCAAAAAACCAAAGTAATAATAATGATAATAAATTTTAAAAAAAGAATTAAATAGGGGCTGAGGATGTGGCTCAGTGCTAGAGTGCATAGCATAGGCAAGAACCTGGATTTAACACCCAGGATTGCCAAAAGAATTAAATAGGCATGGGGATGTAGCCTATGTTTGGCTTCATTAAATAATTTTGCCTCCTTTAATTTTCTTTTTTCAGTGTCTCTTAAACATTTTTTTTTTTTGAGACAGGGTCTCACTATGTAGTTCAGGCTTTCCCTGCACTTATTCTGTAGCCCAGGCTGGTTTCAAGCTCACAGTAATCCTCCTGCCTCAGCCTCTCAAGTGCTGGGATTACAAGTGTGCATCACCATGCTCAGCATCTTAAAATATTTTTCAAAGATTATATTCCTTCATTCACTGGTTCTAAAGAGGATTTTTTAATTCCTTTCTTAGGATGCCATGTTGGAAACTCAGTAATGAAAGACTGGTACCTGTAAGCATGTTACCCATATGTGTCTAGGTTTGATATGGACTCTTGCTACTAGAAGTTTTGTTTTTCTGTCATTCTCAGAAATTCTAACAGGGACAAGTGGACAACAGAACCAGTATTTCCTAAGTAGTACTGTTGCAGAATTCCAAGATACAGGAGAGACCAGTGGGAATTAGGAGGATTTATTTCACGTTTAAATTGTACACTGGCTCAGTGGACTCCTGTCTAAAGGAAGAGCATTGAACAAAGAGAATTTCTAGCTTTATACATTTGTCAAAGGGGATAGTTTTTCTAGTGACATAGCATGTGAATTTACTGGAACAGGGCAAGGGCAGTTTTGTAACATTGCCTTAAAAGAAGACAGTGTCTTATGAATCATATGAAAACAAGGTGTCATAAACTTTGTTTACAGGACACAGTTGTCAATTTTATCTGTACCAGAATAAGGAGTTAAGAGTTACAGGGGAGAAGGGGTGATCAGGGTGAAGGGAACTACCCAAGGTTGGGAAGGACTTATTTTTGTTTAAGTCCTGCTTCAGTATTTATAGAATGACTTGTTTCATAAATACTTCGTTTTCTGTTTAGATCGAAGGACGCGTTCTACCAATGGAAAGAATTAATTTAAAAAATACTTCATTTATCACATCTCAGGAGCTAAGCTTTGTAAAGGAAGTAACGAGAGAACCTTCTATCTTGACTGTGAGTAATTTTTGAAGTGTTAAAGAGAGGCCTAGTATTCCTCAATGTTTTAAAATTAGGAGACAGGAATGATCTAGTATCATCTTTTTGAGAGAAGATACTAGTTGAATTCCATTCTAAATTACCTATTCAACAAAAGTTCAACAGCAGTGTGAGTGGTTGTGAGAATAAGCCTTCTGTCTAACTACAGATTGAAGAGAAGGATATTCATTTCTGTGATAATCTAGTACCAGGCTGTTACCACTGTTCTTTCTTCTTTCTTTTCACCCCCCCCACTTTTCCCATGGGTTCCTAGAAGGTATTTTTATATAAGAAGTCAAAACAGTAACTCCTCCTCTGCAGCAACTCATATATTAGGTATTTACCTCAAAGAACAAAATTGTATATAATTATTTCTAAGTGTTTCTGACCTGACCTTGGTAACCATTTATAAAATATACCTATATTTGTTGTAAAAGCACACTGAAATATACTTAAAAAGCACACATATAAGTATATTGCTTGATCAATTATTCATGAATTGAATAACTGGTGTAATCAACACCAAAGGTTATAAAACAGAAATTTCCAAAGCCCCCTCTATACGCCCAGCTATTCTCTGGCTCTTATCCCCCACACACTGAGAGTGGCTACTGTTCTGAGTTGGCAACTGCATAGGTTCATTTCAGCTGATTTTTATACTTTCTATATATGTAGAAATATAGAGTGACTATTCTTTCATGTCTGGTCACTTCTCTTCACTTCTTCACTTTGTATTCCTGAGTTTCATCCATATTGTTAGGTGCGTTTATACATCTTCCATTCTCATTGCTATAGAATGTCTCGTTGTGAGACTGTGCCACAGTTTACTTAGGCATCTGTGTGAATAGTAGAAATTAGGTAAGATAGGGCTTAGCAGAAGAAATGAAAAGTCACTTATGATCTATAGAAAATCGCTGAGTGTGAGTTTGGGATGTTCAAGTTGTGAACACTAAAAATATCTTGTGATTGTTCCTAGATCCCCATGCACTTCTGGGCACTATTTTATCCAAAGAAAGCAATGGATCAGGCCCGAGAACTGGTCAACATGTTAGAGAAAATAGCTGGCCCCATTGGCATGCGCATGAGTCCACCAGCCTGGGTTGAACTGAAGGATGACCGAATAGAGACCTATATCAGAACCATTCAATCCATGCTTGGAGTTGAGGTAATAAATTAATTTGAGGTGGGTATGGTAGCACATGCCTATAATCCCAGCACTGGGGAGGCTGAGGCAGGAGAATCACCATGAGTTTGAGGCCAGCTTGAGCACATAGTGAGAGCTTGTCTCAAAAAACCAAACCAAAAGTAAGTAATTTGAGTACACCTGGGGATCTCCTTTAAATTAAATTACTTCACAACTTAGCTTTTTTGTTTGGGTTTTTTTGTTCTTGTTGTTGTTGTTTTTTTGGTATCGGAATTGAACTGGGCCCTTGCACTTTGAGGCAGACGGTGGAACCACTGAGCCAAATCCCCGGCCCTTTGTTTTGTTTTGTTTTTGAGGCAGGGTCTTGCTATGTAGTATAGGCTGGGCTTGAACTCACTGTGTAGCCCAGGTTGTCCTCAAACTCTTAGCAATCTTCCTTGCCTCAACATCCCAAATGCTGGAATTACGTGTGCATAACCACACCTGGCTTGACTACTTAATTTAAATTAGCTTGGTTATCAAGCTGCTGTTGATAATGTCCAAGAGCCAATGTCTCACTTACTTACCCATGAAATACTGAACTGAGAAGGCAGTCTTTTTTTCTCATTTCATGTTGGCATTCTTGTCACTCTGGTCATCTTTTTCTTGTGTAATTGACTGCGATAATAGCTGAATTAACTTTAATTCATTATCTGTAGAACATGTTGTCCTCAGAGAACAACTTCTTGAGCCACGTTACTTTTTCACATTTCAATACTGAGTGGTCCCTGTCTGGTCTAGCTCAAGATTCAAATTGCTGTGGTGATGAACGTGGCTAGGAGGGGCCTCTAGGGAACTAAAGAGGATAATCCTGTGACTGTAGATATATGCCCACTATTGCCACATTGAGTTTTTTTTTCCTTTTGCAATACTGTGGATTGAACCCAGGAAACACTGAGCTACATCACTAATCCTTTTTACTTTTTAAAAATTTTGCAACAGGATCTTCCTAAATTGCCCAAGCAGGCTTCAAACTTGTTATTCTCCTGCCTCAGCCTTCTCAGTAGCTAGGATTCCAGACATGTTCCGACACACCCACTGTATTAGTCAGCTTTCTTGTCATGAGACAAAATACCTGACATCCAAAAACCAAAAAGAAGAGAGATATATTTTGTCTCGTGGTTTCAGAGTTCAGTCTATGCATGGTTGGATGGCTCCAAGGATGAAACAGCCCAGTGGAAGGGCACGGCAGAGTAAAGTTGCTCAACCCACGGCATCTAGGAAGCAGAGAAAAGAGGAGGCATGGACAAGAATACAACCTTCCATTGTTGCTGATTTTACTACTTTATCCAAGGTGATATAGTTCTTCTAATTGGTAGTTAGTTCTTCCTGTTATGCCAAGACTGTTATGCCTAAGGGTCATAAACAGTACTATAGGACAGTGTCAAAGAACCAGAGGCTAGGCCAAATAGGCAGCAACTTCTCATTCCCAATACATTGAAAAGGTAGGATCTTCCAACAAATTGAAAACCCAAAAGCCAGCTACACCTGGAAGACATCTCTGAGAAATAATCATTTCCTAAGGGTTCTAAATACTACCAATAAAGCTATTTGCCATACACAATTTACAAGCATCAAACCGAGAATTAAACTTAAAAAAAAAGAAAAGAAAAGAAAATGAGAAGATGCTTAAGGAAGATGCAGTCCCAAACTATCACCTTGCCAAAGGCAAACCCAGGAGGCAGTGAGATGGAGCAGTTTGAAACCCACCCACTTGGACTCTCTGAAGTGGTAACAGAGGAAGTACAAGGCTCTATAAAAAAGTCAACTCGGAAATAGTTTCTCAGAAAGAGATGGTAACCATAATAAAAGATATGATTAGTGTCTCTGAGCATATACAGATAAAAAAATAGAGAAGCTTAGGAAAATGATGGAAAGCATGAATGCCCAACATAGGAAAGAAGTGGAATCCATGAAACATATTCAAATATATATCCAGGAGATTAAAACTTCCGTTGGAAGTATACGCAGAAGAATGAGCCATTGTGAGGATAAAATAACAGATGAGGAAGACAGGATTCAAGTTAATGACTCTGCAAAGAAAAGTTTCTTTAAAATAGTAAGGGACCAGGCCAGGGATTTAGTTTATTGATGCTGCGGCCTACCTCATAAATGCAAGGTCCTGAGTTCGGTCCCTGGTATCAAAAAAAAAAAAAAAAAAGG